GGGGTTATAATATATCACAGGAGGAGAGATGGAGTGACAAAAGAAGGAAAGTGGTCATGGGGAAAAGCAATGGACCTAACAAAGACTCTGTTTTAAGCTTTATTCATAATGTTAAATCAGTGCTCTAAGATTGTGGGTGGTATATGGACAGACTGAGGTTCACCAAGCAGATCTCAACATTTAAGGAATTAAATGGGAAAGACTTTCAACAGGCAGCTCTCTCATCATCAGCTAACTACTGCCACCTGCTGTCTTGAGAGAGAAGAGAAAATACAATGTAAAAATGCCGACTACTGTAATTCCTCTCAGCAGATGTTCACCTTGTTGCTCTGTGAATTGGGTAATGTTTATACGACCTTTAATTAAGAGACTATGTTAATCTCCAGTATCTGACTCGGAGCTCCTTGTCTGTGCCTCCATCTTTAATTACCTTTCCATTTCTGCGCTCCCTGACTCCCATAATGCCTTACAGTTTATATAGATAGCCTTCACATATAACATCACTCTGTGTGCCCCCAGGCTGTTTGTAAGAAAGTGCAGCGCCTGCCTGCAGGTGATTGGACGTTCAGAGTTGATCATGCGCGTGCTAGGCCAGGTGTACCACCTGGGCTGCTTCAGCTGCTGTGAGTGTGAACGCCGGCTGCAGAGAGGTGATGAGTTTGTGCTGAAAGAAGGCCAGCTGCTCTGCCGCATGGACTATGAGAAGGAGAGGGAAATGTTGGCTGCTATCAGTCCCACACCAACAGAATCAGGTAAAGTAGGATTGTTAGGCTACAATGCTTCTTTCTCTGTACCATATAGAATATAATTCAAAAGCTGCCTGGCTTACATCTTAGGGAAATTCCCTTTTTTTCATATTCATACATGCATGCAACATATTTTTCAGCAGAACTCAAACACATTCCTCCATGGTAAACCAGCGAGCAGCCCCTGAAGTGCAATTAAGGTTTTAAGAGGTTACGTCTCTTGCTGCTCCCTTGTACAGTTGGTAGGATATACAGTATATATACACTGAACTGGACCTCAGGCACTGAGTTGGTTACTGACTCAGTAACCAATGGCATACAGAGTCAGTGATGTACAAAACAACTGCTTGACACAATAGCACATCATAATTGTTAAATTATAAAAACTGTATGACATTCAAAGAAGTTTTCCTTTTTAATTCAATTTTCACAATGTTACTTCTGTTTGTGTCGGTGAAGTGTGTTCTGGTCACTGAAGATAATTTGAAAGGTGGCCACTGGTTTTTACAAGGCTACAGTATATAGAGCTAAACCCTCAGTGCACTGGAAAAAATTGGCAACAAACAGGATTTCACTTTCTCAGTTGTTCCCTACCTACTGAACTAGAGACCACAGCTCACAGACACTACAGTGTTAAACACTTTCTCATCTGTTTACCAGATTTCCCTGCTTTTAAATCTAATGAAGGATTAAAAAAAAAAGGTTTTGTTTCTGCTTACCTTCCTCAGTGAAAAGTGAGGATGAGGACGGTGGAGGCGGCTCTGGTGGGGGGAAAGGTGGTGATGAAGGCAAGGAGCACAAGCGTTCAAAGCGACCACGCACCATCTTGACCACACAGCAGCGCCGTGCTTTCAAGGCCTCCTTCGAAGTGTCCGCGAAGCCTTGCCGCAAGGTGGGTGGACCAGCTTGTGTTATCAGTGGAACTGTGTGCCAAAAAATACACTCTTACCTCATTGTTCTTGTGTGTCTTTATAAGTCTGTTTAGTAGTTATTCTCAAGCTGTGTTTAGACACAGTAAAGTTTGTATTTTAAAAACGTAAAAACGGTGGAAAATCTCCCCTGCAGGTGAGAGAGACACTGGCTGCTGAGACTGGACTGACAGTACGAGTTGTGCAGGTGTGGTTTCAAAACCAGAGAGCCAAGGTGAGACTTTACATTATTTCCTGAAGACACGTTCTATGTCATACATAAACACACATAGAAAATTCACAACAACGGCATGTGATTTTGTGCCTCAGATGAAAAAAATAGCTCGTCGACAGCAGCAACAGCAGCAGCAGCAGCAGGAACAAGAGCAGCTGGGGGGGACCAGGAGAGGACAAAGCAGAGGGGGCCGCCAGAGCAATGACGACAGTGAGGGTAATACTTAATGAAGCAAAAAGAAGAATAGAAGAAATGGGGGGTAAAAACAACAAAAAACATATTAAATAGCATGACTAAAGGGATTTCCATCTTCTCACAGATGGATCCAGTACTCATGGCATGGATGGGATGCTGGGATATCCCTCTCTGCCACGTCAGCAACTACTTGCCCTTGACCCCAACATCTACGGTGGAGAGCCGTTTCGACATGGGCTTACACCTCCCCAGCTGAACAACGAGCAGCTCCACTCATATGGTAAGACAGGAGGGGAAAGCTGCAAGTTTCAAAAGAACCCATTCCCTCAAAATCAACATTTTGTCATTATCTCCCCCAGCCTCGTAATTGTTGAAACAATTCAAAGTTTTGGGGCCATTCAGCAAGTTAGTGTCTGTAGTTACAGTAAATGTCAATCTTCTTCCAAACTAGTGAATTTAAAGGTGCCTTGCACACTATAGTCAATTAATTGCACTGCTCAATATTTTCTTCATTATTTCCTTAGAAAATATGCAGTAAGAAATAGCGAGGGAAAACTGGAGCACTTGAGTTATGTTGCATTGGCTGATAGGAGGATGTTTGAAAGACATTTTCTGCTGGTTTCGAACTTTAGAAAGAACAGATGTTAGGAAAAGGCTGAGATAAAACTCTGAGGACTGACTTTACTGGCTTAAATAGAGTTTTGAGTAAAAAAAAAATTCCATGTTCTTTTCGTATTTTTCTGTACTGTCTCTGATACTTTTGAGAGACAATTCCACTTCAGTTGTGCACACTCTCACTGTTTTTCACTGCAGACTCAGAGACAGTGTTCCACGACCTGGACAGCGATGGAAGCCTCGGTCACCTTGGTGACTGCCTCTTAGCAACAGGGGACGGCGGTCTCCTGGCAGGGCGAGTGGGAAACCCCATCGACCGTCTCTACTCCATGCAGAACTCCTACTTCACCTCCTGACCCTTATAAACTCTCACCCTTTCCCCTCCTGATCCACCTTTCACCTCAGAGATGCAGCTAATGGAGTCTGTCCATCAACATGCCTGTGGGACCACTCTCCATGAAACAGCCTACACCCAAACACACTTCTGAGCTTTTATCACAGGCCGAGATCATTACAAGTCAGGCATAGTCATAATATCACTTTGCAGCAGATGAGAATAATGTTCCCACCATTTTTCCTAGATAAGAATCATATGCTGGAAATACAGACACTGTAAATGTCCAAAATATGTTAAAGGACCTCAATTTCCCTTGTTGTATTTATGTGAAGCTCAACGAAACACATTTCATGGCACTTTCCAACAAAAAACTGACTAACAAGACACTTATCAAACATATTAATATGTATATCATGAATTACAGATGAAAATTGGTTGTTGAAAGTGAATTCATCAATCAAGTTACATGTATGTAGGAGTCTTTGCAGGTCTTATGAGCAGCTGAGGGTCTAAATTAAATTAGTATATTACATAACTTTTTTCTTTTTTTTTGGAGGGACTAGTGATTAATTATTGTGCGTGAAAGACTGCAGCGTATACAATATTGTATATGGATTGGAGTACAATTTTGCTCTCAGGTTAGTGTGTATGTTTATGTAACCTGAGCCATAACTCAGGATATTGTGCTGAATAGGATTACAGTTTAAGTTGCCCACTGATTTCAAGAACGTAGATTGTAAAGAGGAAGAAACTTTCAATGTAAAATTATCATTTCAAACTACATTTAGTTTTTGATAATGCATGACAGGTATAATATGGACCAAAAAAATTACATTGTTTTTAGCATTTAGACAACAGGGTCATTCGAAGAGCCTTATGCGGAAACAGGGTTGTGTAAGTTATTATTGCTTTGGCTTTCCTTTTTCTTTTATCATGTAATCACTACAAAGCAGTGCAGTAAAAGACAACCAATAGATCTATAATGCCCAAAACTTAGGACACTGGGTACATGATGATGTACTCCAAATGTAAATGTGAGTATGACTGTGTTACAGTTACTTGTTGTAGTCACTTTCTGTAATTATTTCTTTCTCAAACATCTCAAATTAGATGTTGTTAGGTAGATATTTTGTACATTCTTCTGTGATAATCAGCAAATATTTAAACTGTAGCATGATATCTATGTGTCACAAAGTAGGTCTAAAGAAAAAGCCTGCAAACTGAAGTTGGATAGCAAGTTTTTCCTGAAATCATCAGGAGTCGACTCACAATGTGGTGCAGAATAAAATAGGATTAGGGTGATACCCGTTTCATTTAGGTGCCTGTGATCGGCTACAACTTGTGACATTCTTTCATGACATTATGTTTGACACTGATCACTGACTCATGGTATTTTTACAGTGATATTTTTGTGAATGTAACTTATTTGTGCGGTATTAGGCGAGATCCTATCTCACTTTTTTTGTTCAGTGACTGCCAGGTGATGTGCTTTGAATGTAATGTTGCCGTATCTTCAATACAATCTGCGGTTTCATCTTTGGAGTGCGCTTGCCTTTTTTGTCCTAAATACAACGAATGAAGATAGACTGATTACTTGCTCCTCTAGTATGAACCAATATTATACTTGAAAAGAATGAATGCTTTCTCCCTCCACTACCCCCTTCAGCGCTTTAATAATTGACCCAGAAAAGGTCTGTTCTGCTTAGTGGTCACAGGGCTCCTAACTCAACATCCTCCCTCTGTCTCTCTCAGTAGTCCCACTGATTAGAGGTCGACAGCCTCCTCCCTCTCTTTTCTTCCCAGACTCCCTATTTCTCAGTCATTGAGTAGTCAGAAGGGTTTGTGTGGGAGTGATACATTCCAGTTTAATATTTGACTCTGACTCAGACCTGGAGAAGGAGACGGTGGGAAGGACAGACACAAGCATCAGAAAACAACAGAGGATGATCACACCGGATGAGTAATACAAGTCTGATATCAATTTTAATGAAATGGTTCAGCAAAAACCCATACAAACCAAGCATCCTCACTTATAGGTAAGTATATAACATTTACAAGAAAAGTAAAAGGACTCACCACCCATCTAACTCACAGTGCTGTAGCAATCCCCTACATCTTATTGTAGGGGATTGACGGGATACACACATTATGTCACAAAGGAAAAAAGATGTCCTAGCAGTCACTGTACATACAGTACCATGGCTGGGACACGAGAAACTAGCACATCTGCGTTGCTGTGGGGACAGGTGCAATCTGAAGGTGATGGAAGGTGTCTGACTGCTACGATGGCTGAGGTACTGGATTTGTAGCTGAAAAAAGAAATTGACTTTATTGGTATGTGAACTATTAAAGTAATACCACCAAAACATGGTGTATCAGTCACATACTGCTGATATGATAACCAAAAATGTGTGATTTTGGAGCCAACTGCTCAAGATGTCCAAGAAAACAATACACATTTGAAATATTCCTGCATGCACAAACCATGCAATGTCATTAAAATACACCCCTGCCTCTTGAAGAGAGAAGTGAGAATTCACAACTGTCCATATGTGACATTGGAGTTGTGCATGGCCAATTCCAGCAAGGACTTACCCACTCCACTGAGGTCCACTGTCTCTGCACAGCCCAGAAAGCGGGCCACATGTGGTGAGCAGGAGGTAGGTTTGTCCTGGTTTTCTCTCAGGCAGCGCTCAAACTCCACAAACTCCTTGGAACAGTCTTGTCTGATCTTCTGGATCACTGGGCTATCAAAGAAAATGTAGGGGTTAGATACAAAGTTTTGATCATGTTGGTGTAAGGAGGCCACATGGGCGGGAATGGGTACACAACTATTTTGCCTTACTGTGATGATGTGCACTGAGCAACCTTCATCTTCAGTTCATGACACTTTTGCTGCCATGTTGATGGGTTGGAGGCCACACATGACCCATATTCTTCCATTTCTTTATGGCAATACTTTGCCGTGATATCCATAGCAGCCTGCCTGAAAGGTGACAAATGAGTGTAATTCAGTAAGTAATGATGGAGCCATTAACCTGGTAAACTTTCTATAATAAGCATAAACAATAAAGTAGTTATGTGAAGTCTGCAGCCCGATTCACAGTCACAAATGTCTTTATTCACACTCTGTATCTACTTCTCTATCTAGACTGTGGGATATGGTAAATGTATTAATGATGTAAGCCATATTAAAGATTCTTACATGTTGCTCTTTAAGGTTTGTCTCAGTCGAAGAGGCTGATCAATCAAGGTTACAGCAGCAGTATTTCGGCATGCGGTGCCATGTCTGTGCGGCGACTGCACCGCGCATACCCATTACTATTTGGTTGGATCAAATACAAGATTGTGAAACGGTTCTTTAATGCTATTGGTTCGGATTTGTGTCAATCTCAGCGCATGGTTACTCCCCTATAATGACGACAAATTTATTAAAGGGATAGCTACTAAATCGTATAATTGAAGCATTTAACGACAAATATACTCGATATTTTGTCAAAAAGATATTTTTATTCACGTGTTGCAAGATATTTAACCTAAACAACACAATTTAACTGCGTGGAAAATAATAATGTTTGATTTTTGCGGTTCAACCATTACGTGTCTTTGCGTGTTTACGTATGCGGAAGCCACGGCAAGAGAACGAGCGATTCAGTAAACGGGCTCTCAAGGCTGAACTGAGCACCGCTCCGTGTGTACAATTGTATTTTTTACCGGTTACGGCACGACGGGGTGGTGGTGGATGATAGAGGGGGCCAGAGGAGTGAGAAAGGTACAATGAACGACGCCAAGAAAGCGGGGAGTATGGCTGTGGACGGGATCCGAGAACCGGGTGAGCTGCAAATGGCCCCCTCTGTGAACCACAACCAGCATGACAGCGGCACCGGCGACGAACTGGTGAGCTCGGTGACGCTGTACAGGCGAAGGCCCCGGCTGCTGCACGGCACCGTTCTCCCGTTTCTGGCTGTTCTCTACCCGGGATGGCTGTACGTGTGGTTAGGAGTATACGGTGCTTCCGAGTATCCGGAGGCAGGCCTCCTAGCGCTGGCAGCTATCGGGATCGCGCACGTCCTCACAGCACTCTCTGGTTATTGGTCCGTGCACGCGCATTGCTGGCTCACTTGTTCCAAGGTAAACGTCATTAATGACAACAATAATACTGAGATATTTATAGGGAATCCACTATTTTCCCTACGCTTACATAGAGGTCAAAAGTCAGGGACAGCATGAGCTCAGGAGCAGGCGCGGAATCAGTGACCTGCTCAAAGGTATTACAGCAGGGCAGGTGCTGGGCTTGAACCGTGGATGATATGTTTACCACAAATTTGAATCAGCAATGACATTTCTCTGTTTAAAGGGCACTTTCAGTCACCACTGCCACATTTTTTCTATCTTCATTCATTTTCTTTGGGAACTGTTGACATGATAACTTTGATTATTTTACACTTATATTTTTACATTACACTTTCATAGACAATGGAAGATTGTTATCTGTTGTTTCTACCAAGCAGGCTGAAAAACCTGTGTGACTTTCTTTGACATTATACTTCCTTCAAGCAAGAGAATGTTGATATAGAAACAAAAAATGTATTGTGCAAATGTAAAGACCAATTTTTGATTAATATATAAAGTTATCTGTTTGGGTATGGAAAATCACCTGTTCAGTGTCTAGCTGCAGTTTGTGCATGGTAATGGAAAGCTGTACAGCATTCAGAGTACTTCATAGAAACCTTACTAGCAGTGTTGGTGTTGCACTGCCCATTTAAAAAAGATTTTGTTGTCATGACACAATATTAAAAATGTTGCTACAATATTGTTATATAGATAGATGATGGTTAAAAAAATGTTTGTGCCTGAACATCTTATTGATCAAGTACCTATTTGTCAGGGCATGTCTCATTTGAGAGGGACAAAGCTGGAGAGGCACACACCTATACCAAAAATAACAGTGCCCTGCCACAGTGTGTGAATTGTCACCTGTTCATTTGTATTCACAGGAACCAGACCCAAACAAGGCTACGCTGGCAAAGGTCATACCCACCCCCAACAACGGCTCTGCTGAGCTCGTGGCACTGCAGAGGGACCAGGTCAGTTAACACATTTCCACTCAGGATTCTCCAAGTTGTCTTAATTGGGAACATGTGTCGGAACTCACATTCTCTTTCTACCGAGCTTAGGTTCTGACACATCTCTTGATCTTACAAGTTGTTTGAAATCAATATTGACTGTGTCACTCCCGTCTAGTGATTGGTTTGGCATGGCTTCAAAGTAAGCAAACAATTAAACTGTTATTATTTTCTATTGTCATTTGTGATTGGACATTTCTAAAGAGAATATCATTATCTTGATGCACTCCTCTCTCAGATACCATTAAAGCTTAAGTAGAAGTGGTTAGGTTAGATTAATTAAAGTGTTACAATGTGATTTCCCTAAAGCATAAAGGGTATGAACTGATTTTCAGATATTTTTTTTCCAGCCTAAGAAAATATTAATGTGCCTTTCTTGACTGAATGCTGTAATTCAAAATGTCTTTTTGTTGTTCTGACCAGCAGGATGAGAATGGGGAGGGGACCCTATCTTTTGAGTTTCAAAAGATTCGTTACGTCTTTGACCACAAGGAGAAGAAATATTTCCTTCCAATAGCATTTCCCATCAGCCACCCAATGGGCTACTTTCAGTCCTGGCGTGGCTACCAGGAGGAAACTGAACTCAGAGCTGCGGAAAAGCGCTACGGCACCAATCGTGCTGAGATGGTGGTGCCAGATTTCCTGGAGCTCTTCAAAGAGAGGGCCACAGCTCCCTTTTTTGTTTTCCAGGTATGTGTATGTTTAAATATTTCTTTATAATTTTATTGTACATTTTGTAGGGTTAGGGTGTCTTTATCCACGTGATGTTATCTATCCTCTGACATCCACCAGGTGTTCTGTGTGGGGCTGTGGTGTCTGGACGAGTACTGGTACTACAGCGTTTTCACACTGTTCATGCTAGTGGCATTCGAGGCATCACTGGTCCAGCAGCAAATGAGGAATATGTCTGAGATCCGCCGCATGGGAAACAAGCCCTACATGATCCAGGTAGGCTTAATGAAATTTTAAATTTATTATATTTCATGTTAAATTTACATTTTGTCTTGTGTCACAAAAATGTGTGTTTATAGTTAAAACTAGTTTCAATGTCTTTAAAACAGAACATCCTACTTTTATTTGATGTATTTTCTTCTAGGTGTATCGCAACAGGAAGTGGAGACCTATTTCAAGTGATGAGCTTGTCCCTGGTGACATCGTCTCAATAGGTAAGTGTCCTGTCAACATTTTTATTTTCACCACAAACATCAGATTCATGCTGTTAGTTTGTGTTTTATATGTGCACTGTGTCCTGCACAGGACGTTCACCACAGGACAACTTGGTACCATGTGACGTGCTGCTACTCAGGGGTCGTTGCATTGTGGATGAGGCCATGTTGACTGGAGAGTCTGTGCCCCAGATGAAGGTTAGAAGCAAACTGATATATACATGGTAACACTATCAGTGTTTCCCTTAGGTTGACTGCTTTGGGGTGTATGTGCTGCTAGTGGTGTGTCTGGGACTAGCTTCCCTGCCATTGGCTGCAGAGCTACTTGCATCCTCACTGCTGTCTCCACATTGCTGATATTTTGGACTGACTTTCAGATTTTTGGGGTTCACATCTGTCCAGCTTTGGTTTTTTAAAGGATTTATAACACTTGCTGGAAAGCTTGTATTGCATTCATCATAACAAGTTGTTAACTTGTCTCTGCTCTCCTGTGCTCTGTTTCACCTTGTGTAAGGGGAGGGGCTAAGACACACATAGTGAAACAGAAACAGAGAAGAGGAAAGAAATGTGACCGTAAAAGACAGCAAAACGCACTAGAGACTCTCACACTGAGCTGACATGAAACAAATGCACATAGATTAGTTAAATAACATAAATGAAATATTGCTGTATTTTTTTTTTTTTTTCATTTTTTTAATTCAATCCCCACCCAAGGCACTGGTGGTCAAACGCTGACTATACAGAACTGAGGGTATGGACTTTGGAGTGTAAGCCTCAATTATTCTAAATGGCATGAGATTATTGTGCGGTGATGTAATAACTGCTGACATCATGGGGTTTGCAGGAGCCAGTAGAGGACTTGGACCCAGAGCGAGTCCTGGACGTTCAGACAGACTCTCGACTCCACATCATCTCTGGTGGGACAAAAGTGGTCCAACATAGCCCACCTTTAAAGGCTAGTGCTGGACTTAAACGTAAGTGCCAGCTCCTCCCTTCCTTTATCTTTTACGAATAACAAATACTGGCTGTTGAAACAGTGTATTCAATAGTCAATTTATCGCTCTTTATCATCAAAACAAGGTACAAGTTCTCAAACCTTTTCCTTTTTGTGCAGCTGTAGACAATGGCTGTGTGGCCTATGTATTGAGAACAGGATTCTACACCTCTCAGGTGAGGAAGTTGCATAGTATGACTATATTACTACACTCCCCTTTTTCTTGCCATGCATTTTGATTCCAGTTTTGACAACATATGAGTGGAAGACATGTTGAGTCAGATCTGAAAGCGTACTGATTGCATGTACAAACCTTCCTCCAGGGTAAACTATTACGGACCATCCTCTTTGGTGTGAAGAGAGTGACGGCAAACAACCTGGAGACTTTCATCTTCATTCTCTTCCTTCTTGTGTTTGCCATTGCTGCGGCTGTTTATGTGTGGGTAGAAGGTGAGGTGCACAGAATCAACTCATTATGATGTAATTCTCATTTAACACAGACATTATCCCTGGCAAAGTGATAGCTAATAGCGGGAGATGAGGGCATAAGTAATATCTAAATACTGTGCTTTGTATTATGCCCTCAGGGACCAAGGATGTCAGTAGGAACCGCTACAAGCTGTTTCTGGAGTGCACGCTAATCCTCACCTCGGTGGTTCCACCAGAACTCCCCATAGAGCTTTCTCTGGCAGTTAACACGTCTCTTATCGCCCTGGCTAAACTTTGTAAGTTTGTTTGTGCTCCTGTCCTGCATATATCAAGAGACCTGGGCAAAGCAGCTTGTGACAGCAGTGGTTCATTCGTGTCTTCTTTTTCTCCTCCTGCCTAGATGTATTCTGTACAGAGCCCTTCAGGATACCATTCGCAGGGAAAGTGGAGGTTTGCTGTTTTGACAAAACGGGAACACTGACGAGTGACAGTCTGGTTGTACGAGGAGTAGCAGGCCTTAGGTAAACTCTGCCCACCATTCTCAGTGTTTTACTTTGAATATCATAATTTGTAAAGCATAAACACAAAGCATATTAT